ATGGGGATGAAAGGAGTTGTGTGTTAATGGAGTGTGACATTGGGATCATGTAGCCCCATTCACCAAACTTACTATGTTTGCACTAATCTATCTGTTCTAAGGGAAAGCCTGCTCTAGTCACCATCAGGGTTGCTTGTTTGTTCCCATTGGCTCCAACATATCTCACAAGAAGCATGTATAAATTCAGAGAAATGTCTGTGTAAAGTCTTGGTTCATGGACTTGTAGCTGATCATCCCTGATAGAGGTCACCTCATGCTTCAACCCAGCTAACAAGATTCCTCTGTTCTTTGATATGCTGTGAATGTGCCCCATACTTTGGTAGGTCAGGGTTGTTCCTGGGATGGATAGGGCCTTCTCCATTTCCACACCCACCCATTTGGTAACTACGGTAGTGTAAAGTGAGGTATCAGGGCGGATGGGGGTGCTCCCTGTCATTACCAAGATCAGCACTCAGCCAAAGGAAGCTCACAGATAGTCTGGATCCACCCCAATTTGGAAAAGATGCTCTTTAGAAAATATTATTTCCAATGGATTATCTCCAAAGAAATCCATGTTTAGAAAAGTTACCCTGATTTGGCTGATAGAAGTAGTCCATCAGAGAGCTAGTGTGGTATAGAGCGGTTTGAGCAGCTGACTACAACTCCAGAAATCAGGGATCAATTACCTGCTCTGTCATGAAAACCCACTAGTGACCTTGATTTTCTGGGGCTGAGAGACACACACTCTCAGCCCCAGAAAATCTTGGATAGGATTGCCTTAGGGTCATCAAAAGCCGGAAATGATTTGAAGGCACACATGAACAACAGTGGTCCATGTATTACATCAGGTTGCAAATATTGTCCTGTGAGAATATTGTCCACTGGGAAGATTTTCCAAATGTTGAAGGTCTCTGGTCTAATATTTGTTTGTGGGACATAGCAGAAGGAGGAACAGGGAGCATTGAAATGGCTGACACTGGAGACATTGATGTGGCCTAACAATTATATGATCAATCAGCCAATTAAGGAATACTGTTTTCTTGCATCTGTGCTGCTTCTCCACCGTGATTGCAGAGCAGATGGCACTGTCATTTCAAAGAGTTGAAAAGGATCTTGGGTGTTCCGAAATCAAATTAAAAGTTACACAAACCACATTACAAACCATTTGGGGCAAGTTGCCAACCAAAGTGACTCCTTTCCACCCCATTTGGATCTCTTAGGGCCTAAGCAGACTGCCAGAAATAGTGCACATTAAATTGAGGCACTGCCCTGGCTCAGTGCTAGAGAATCATGGGAACTGTAATTTATTGTGGCACCAGAGCTCTCTGACAGAGAAGGCTCAATGTCTCAGAAAAAAATACAATTCTCATGATTCCCTAGCACTGAGCCAGGGCAGTGCCTCAATTTAATGTACACTATTTCTGGCAGTCTGCTTAGGCCTTTAATAAAGATGAGAGCTCATGTTGACAGAGCACTAAGTGTATCCAACCAGTCTTTAATCCTGGTGGCAGTAGGGTTGAAAGCCTGTGTTCATAATGGTCTAGACCAGTGGTTCCCAACTTTGATCCTCCATTTGTTTTGGACTTCAGCTCCCAGAAGCCCCAGACAACTTGTCAGAAATTATTCAGTACAGTATTTAGAGGCATTGAGGTCCATGAGTCAGGAATTATGGGAGTTGAACTCCAAAACATCTGGATGACCAAAGGTGTGGAGTCACTGATCTAGACTACTGCATCTTTCAGAAACTGGCCCAACCTGCAATTGTACTTATATTTCCATCATCATTTCCAGTTAGAAGAATAAGCCAAATAATTCAGAAAAGTTCCTGTTCCATCACAAATTTTTATTTCTACTCAACCATAACTAAACAAATATTCTTCATCTGTGCAACTGTATCTTTTGAAGCATAGTTTCCAGAATGTTATAGTATTTATTTGCTGATTAGAAGCTTCTTTGCTTTAAGTCACTTAAGTTTGAACTACTAGAGGTAGATAATAACTTTAGAACTTCCCTAGGGAATGGTCTCAGCTAAGATACAGGGTCTGGCCTTTTTAAAATGCCTACCCACCACCACTACTCAGACCCTCTTTGGAAGAGGTAATAAATAAATAGAACTTTCAGGCAGCAAACACTGGGAATTCTGAAAGTGTCATTCTGATATAAATCCTCCTTGTGTTGGAAGACAGAAGTATTGTAAGTGTGTGTGTTGTAGTTGTCATGATTGGAAGAACCAGTTCCTAATAACCAAGACAGCATCATAGTGTAGTAGAAACTAAAGCTTTATTCTGGATATCAAGACAGAAAATTCCACATCCCGAGTTCAGTGTCAGAATTAAAGAAGTTCCCCTTCGAACAAACATAAATGCATTCCCATGCTCCAACCCCGATCACTCCCCTTTGATCCAGATCAAAGGGGCCATCATGATTCCTTCCTTCCCCTCCTGTATTATTTTTTAGCCTCCCTTCAGAAAAAAGATTGTCCCTGTTTTACAGCTCAGATCCATGGCAGGAATATTGATGTCATAAAACTCCAGCTCCTTTCTGCCACTGGCCACCTGCCCCTCCCATTTGTTTCCCTGGCCTAGATTTAACATAATTGATATCCCCTTCTCAATTGGCCACCTACTATACAGCTTTATTTCACCATATCACCATGCCCTCATATCTTCATCCCTTAATATAATCATATCATCATGCCAAGATGACAGAACCATGTATATGGATTCTGACATTGGTGTGGTGCCTTATTTGACCATTTGTGCTCAGTCGCCATAGATCCTGGCAAGTCCATGCCATGCAGGTAGCCAAGAGCACTCTACCAGGGGCACAGACTGAGCAAATAAATAAATTGGCCTGAATGGAAACAACATGATGAATGGACCAACCAACACACATGGGATGTATGAATTAGTTTTCCTCTGCTTAACCACTCTGCATGGCTGCTACATGAGTGTGTATGTGGCTGTTAAACATCTGTAGTGATGTACCCAAGAGGGGGCTCCACTGCATCATTTTAGTAGTAGTGGTTGCCCTGATAACCTGGTAGTTTTGCTGTGGGTTTGTCAGAGAGTAGCCGTGCCTCACTGAGAAGTGGCTCCATTACAGTGCTGACTGCACAGCTAATTGGTGCATGTTTTATTCTCTCCTTTAATTACGATGGGTTACTGCTGACAAAAATGACAGAAATTACAGACTTAGCCAAAGAGAAAATGGAGTGGAAAGTAGTGTATGTGAGGAGGGGGAGATAAATGTCTTTCTATTTTCCCTTTTTCCCAGACCACTACCACCCCAAAACTGGTTGACACCCCCTCCCTCTTTTGAGCTTGGCAGCTACAGATGCACCCCCATAGCCTTAATAGTGAGCCCCCTCAATGAGCAGAGAGCCTTCTGCCTCTCTGCAGCCTTCATTTCATCCTTGCCCGGGGTTAATTAAAGGACCATGAAATCTGACTTCTTCTTTGCCAGTTTCTCTGGGAGAAGCTAATGGAATCACTCTGCTGTGTTATTTGCAGCAGTGAGGGCAGGGCCAAGGGAGAGGGCAGAGGAGGTGGCACTAAAAGTGAGACTGGAGCTGTCTGCCAGGCATGAGCATAAGCTATGTCATACCCCAGAAGGCAAGTGAATAGCAAATACAAACTGTATCCAATAATGCCTATAAACAAAGAGGTAGGGAAGCCTGGTAGATGTGGGGCTAGTAAGAAAGGGCAGTTCAGCATATGGAACAGTGTACAGTATGATCCCTGTATCTGCAGGACCAGTACCTGTGGTTTCATTTATCCACATCCAAAAAATAAGTTCTCTCTAGGCATTTTTAGGATTCTCCAACTTCTGTGGTATACTTTTGGCAGAGGTTGACCATAGAGTTGCATTGGAGGACCTAGAAATGCCAAGAAAGATGTTCTCTTTTGGGGCCTGTCTACACTGGTGAAAAATGCCACACTCACCCTGAAGCTGGTGCTGACAGTCTTCACAATGTTTGTCTACTTTCAGGGAGAATCTGTTTTTGTTTTTGTTTTCCTTTATCCTGACTTTGCTCCAAAACAAGCAAAGTCAGGAAATCTCCAGTGTTTCCCTGAAACCCTAGAGTGATCTTGGGTTCATTTTGCAGGTGGACAGCTGGATCGGGTCCGATCTAGCCCAGTCCAGTTGTTCATATGCCAAGAGCCACACCATCCCCTTTCCTAAATATGATTGCTAGTTCTTCCTAGAATACACTCCACTGCATACATCACTGAATGGCCAATCCATACATGCACGAGTCCCGTTGACTCAATTGTTTAGCTCTAGTTTGATTAGCAGTTGGATTAAACCCGTTGCTGGGACAATTATGATGCTTGAAATAAGAATGCAATTCCTTTAAAGTTTTTCATTCTATTGCATTGTTTCAAATTCCTTGCCACTAGCATGCAGTCCTCTTTCTAGAAGTGGCTAATTTCCAGAAGTGGCTTATGTTATTGAATGCCTGGAGATGTTGTGAACCACTGGATGAAATTAGACTTGAATTCACGTCTTTCCCCACACTCCTTCTTTCACGTGATCTGTCTTCATTTGAAACATTTGGGTTTCAGAACAAATCCAAATCAGAGTTGTATGTTTTCTGGGGAGCTCCCATTTCTTAGCATTGCTATACATCTGATTTGGCCAGATTTTATCCAGTCAGTAGGCATTCTACCCAGTACCCTCCACCTAATGGTTTGCACCATTAGCTGGCCTGTATTCTAAGGTTTCATTTTTTTTTCAACAAAAAAAGTAAGGTTCTAGAATTTCTGTGAGCCCAAACAGAAGGCAAAAAGTAAAGCCCAATTGTTCTGTCTGTGAAAAATGGGCCTGCAATTGCCCTTTAGGGTTTAAGCTAATCAGTGAAGTGTCCCAGCCCCTTGTTGGTGGTGGTGATCCTAAAGTGAACCTATCACATGTTTTTTTTTGGGGGGGGGCAATATTTGTTTAGAGTGGAATTGCCCTTCCCTTCCTCTGAGGCTGAGAGAGCATGAGTTGCCCAAGGCCATCCACTGGGTTTCTGTGGCCAAGTGGGGATTTGAACCCTGGTCTTCTGAATCCTAGTCCAACACTCAAATCACTGAACCATGCTGGCTCTCTGTCACAGTCCCACTGAGATATAAATTGACCCTCTTCTGGATCAGTGTTGCTAATTGGACTGGAAAGCCTAGTCCGTTTGCAGACCAAATCAGAGCTGAGTTGAATTGAATAGAGTAAAAGGAAAAGATGCAGATAGTTTCAGTCTTACCCTACTTCATCAGCCTGTATAACTCCAATTGCTGCTTCTGGTAAGCAAACAAGGGTTTTATTTGAAGGGATCCCTAAGGCAGTGGTCCCCAACCTCCGGTCCGCGGCCCGGAACCGGTCTGCAGAACAAATGGTACTGGGCCGCCCTGCTGCTGCGTCTTCTGTGCAGTGGCAGCCGAGAGGAGGAGGAGGAGGCGAGGAGGAGGAGGAGGCAGAGGCAGCCTCGGGAGCGTGTCTCCCATGCCCGCTTCCTCTGGCCACCTCCGAGTGCCAGCCTGGGCGCTTTAGCTGGAGAGGGAGGGAGGAGGCCAAGGCAGGGGCCCCGACAGTCAATCCCCGCCAATAGGAGGAGGAGGAGAACCCTTAGGTCCACCCCTCTAGCTCACTCCCTTCTTCCCTCTCTTTCGCCCCCTCTCT